CGACCTGGGAGTCCGAGTCCGATATGCGGAGCCGTTATCCCCATCTTTTCCCCGACTCAGGTACTTCCTTCTTCTGTCCGTTCGAGGATGAACGGTTGTTTTAGAGGTGGACTATGTGCTTTAAATTAAATTCTGTGTTTCCGAGACCTTGAAAACCTCATTAGAGCCACTCGATTTGCGTGGGCAGTCCGGGCGCATAGCCGGAAAGCTTAAATATGAAAAATCTGTGAAAAATGATAAAATTTGGCTAATAAATAAATTAATTTGACTTCGGTCAACGTTTTGGGTAAACGGACCCGGACTCGTGATTTGACGGTCCCGGAGGGTCCGTAGGAAAATATGGGACTTGGGCGTATGCCCGGAATCAAATTCCGAGGTCCCACGCTCGAGAATTGAATTTTTAAAGAAAATTGATTTCTGAATTCGTTTATTGGATTTGGGAATAAATTTTGATTAGAACATGTTTCTATCGGGCCCGTATTTTGGTTTCGGCGCCCGGTACAGATCTTATATGTAATTTAAGATAACTCCGTGAAGTTTGGTAAGAAACGGAGTCCGTTTGACGTGATTCGGACCTTAATTGGGAAATTTGATGTTTAAAGGAGTTTTGAGGAACTTCATTGATCTTGAGGTTTAATTTGATGTTCATGATGTTAATTTGATGATTTGATTACACGAATAAGTCCGTAGGATATTTTTGAGATTTTGTGAGCACTTAGTTTGGAGTTCCGAGGGCTCGGGTGAGTTTCGGGTAGGTTCCGGGATGTTTTAGGCTTAAAATCAGAGCTGTTGCAGGCTCAGGGAAGTGGAAGGCCTCTGAACAGGCCAGTGCGGTCCGCACAAGTGGACTGCTGCCGCGGAGGGGCCTGTGCGGCCGCACTAGTTTTTGTGCGGTCCGCAGTGAAGAGCATTTCACAGGTCCGACTTCGGAAGCCTATATCTTTTGAGCTATAAGGAAGTTTGAGATGATTCAAAAACAAAAGTTGTATCCCTTCATGTCTAGTTTTCAGAAAGGTAAATAATTCACAATTTGGACATCTGTAGAGAAAGTTATGGCAAATATACTAAGACCTGTCACTGCAGAACACTGGGAGGCCTGTGCGGTCGCAGTTGATTTTGTGCGGTCCACACAGGGCATCTGAGGGCAGTATATTTAGACGGGATTTTCAGTTATTTTTCATTTTTAAAACCCCAAAAACATAAGAGGTGATTTTTCAAACAACCTTTCTTCTCCAAATCAATTGTAAGTCGTTTCTAACTAGTTTTCTTCAATCATTAGCATCTTTTAACATGATTCCAACTTCAAATCAATGATTTTCATGGGGGAAATTGGGTATTTTGGGTAGAACCTAGGTTTTTCAAAAATTGGGGATTTGGACCTCAATTTGAGGTCCGATTTCAAAACAAATTATATATTTGGGTTCGTGGGGGAATGGGTAATCGGGTTTTGGTTCGAACCTCGAGTTTTGACCACGTGGGCCCGGGGGCGATTTTGACTTTTTGGGTAAAACCTTGGAAAACTCATTTTCATGCATTCAAATTGATTCATTTAGCGTTTATTAATGTAATTAAGTAATTTGTGATTAGATACGAGCGAATTGGCGGTGGAATGGTAAAGCTATAATTGAACCTTGAGTTGTGTTCGCGGCATCGAGGTAAGTGTTTGGTCTAACCTTAGCTTGAGGGATTAGCAGTCGAGTCCTATTTGGTATGTGGTAATTGTTGAGTATGACGTATAGGCATGGTGACGAGTATCTATATGTTGGTGTCTAGCATGGCCGTGAGTCTTAAAATTTTGAATATCTTGATTTTGTTGTATCGTTCATGCCTTGGTGATGATTCCTATTTGTTGTGAAAAGCTTGTGGAAGGAAATGGTGACCTTTGAACATCGAGGAGCATTGGCTCAAGTTATATTACAAATTGTGAAAGTATATGAGATGATTGAACCCTTGGGAGCATTGGCTCAAGTAGTAAAGTGAGTTAAGAAAAAAAAAGTGAAAGAAAGAGAAAGAGTTATTAAATTGTTCCCTTGCCGGGATATTATTGCTTTGTGGATTATCTCCCTTGCCGGGATGTTGAGATTATTGATATTGTACCCTTGCCGAGATTTAATTGTTTAATTGTGTTCCCTTGCGGGGATTTCTATTATTATTTTGTTTATTCCCTTGCCCCTTTGTTTGTGATTGTTGTTTGGGTGAGGAAGAGTGTTAAAGCACGAAGGGTGATGCCGTGCATTGTTGATATTGTTAGAAAAGAGTGTAAAGCACGAAGGGTGATGTCGTGCCGCACGATGTACCATTCCGTGCCGATTCTATTGATTATATGTGAGGAAAGATAGTAAAAGCACGAAGGGTGATGCCGTGCACACTTTTATTATATGATTGTTTTGGTGAGGACGAGAGTAAAAGCACGAAGGGTGATGCCGTGCATTAGTTGAATTCTGTTTCTTGTTGATATCTGAGTTATGTTACTTCTTTCGTTTATTTAATGTCTTTCTATTCGGAATTGCTATCTCCCTCACAGCATGCTCCCCCTCCCATTTTGACTAGTTATTTCTATGTCTCTTTTCTATATATATATATATATATATATATATATATATATATATATATATATATATATATATATATATATATATATATAT